CAAAATATAAATAGCCTTTCTTCACTTAATTAGCAGATTTGTTTCCAATTAATAACTAAATTTTTTAGCAAGCTAGAGACTAAAATTCAGCATGCAGTGTTTCATTGACTGAAACATCCATTAACAGTTCTTCATTTAAAGGAATATTGGATTGAAAAATATCAAACAAAAATGGATCATGTATATACATCCTAATTCATTATCAAGAAATTTTTTGAGAAGTTTTCTCCTACAAAAGTACTCCAGACGCTGGGTACCAATTTCAATTACCTTTTAAGACATGCATGAGCTACAGTGGGAGTATTCTATCACACCTGATCACCAAACGAGTGTTGTTTTTGTTTAAGTATCATAAGACAAGAAATGATGTTTTTAAATAACAAGAAAAAAATTTATTTTATTTAGTAAATTCTGAAAAGTACGGGAATATGTCTGTATTGTTTTTATTCAGTGTGTGAGTATGATGGTGGAGTTAAAATGTACAAGAGCCAGATGTAACCATGATTCACCAGACAAAGTGTTACTGTGATCGAGATGTTTGAATGAGAGTATTTGTAATGGTGCAAAAGTCAGATATGGCCAAACAAAGCGAGTGATTGTAAAGCTAAGATCTAAACATGCGAAAAAATTGGGGGAAATTGGTTGACAAGAAAGAAGGTCAAAAATAGAGAAGGATCGCTAAGGTATGCCAGAGGTGCATCAGCCATGTTTACAAAAGACGGTAAACCCCATAGGAAAGAAAAAGATCACTAGGGTGCCTCAGGATCATAATGCCGGTATTTACCTAAAGAAGGTAAGCCCCTGAGGTCCCCTAACCTGGAGGACCAGTCCCCTGATATGATCCACAGGGGAAGGGTGTCCAGCTATACCAGATACCGGGCACCCATTTCAATTGCCTTTTAAGAACATACATGAGCTACAATGGAACTATTCTTTCACACCCGGTCACCAAACAAGTGTAGTTTTTGTTGAAGTATCAGCTTATTTTAAGTCTCAATTTTACTGCTCAGTGTTAAAATATTTTTGAGCTTTCCAAGCCAATCTCTATTAATGATCGAACTTTACAATATGTGTTTCTTTTCTACTAAAAAAAAAAGTAAACTTACCTTCTTAAATTTAAAATACATTGCAGTATTTTGCCACATGAGAGTCGTGACTTTGGTATACAGTAACTATGTCTCATACACAGAACCCATCTCATTACAGAGTATTGAAAAGAGATGACTGTTAAGAGAGTTGCTTTGAATAAAATTACTATAACAGCATCTGTAATATCTTGTACAATTTTTCATCAATGCCTTTATCAGCAAGGTCATATCAATATATCATGCATAGGTAGAAAATGATATAGGGTGAAATTTTTTACATTTATCCTCTCGATCTTTAATCACTACACCTTTAGTGCAACTGTGACACAATGAGTCCAGGTGAAGTTGTTTCAAAACATCTATTTATAATTTCAAATATCTTTATTTTCCCTTCAAATCTTTATAACATAAAAAAAAAATTAGAATGTCTTTTTCAAAAATGCATCTAACAAACAATAATCTGGGATAGTTTAGTAATGCCAATGGTTTCATCAAGTAATATAGAAAATACAGGAGAATTTTGTAACTGATTTTATTGAACTTTGAACTATGGCAGAATTGTGATGAGAAATGGTATCTCTTGATGGTGGTATTTTAAAATTGTTACTATATTTTTTTCCAAGCATAATTGATATCTGATTGATGATTTTACCTTCGTTTTTTAAAAAATTGTTTCATATTGACATGCTAATACTTTCTGTTCAGTTTCCGAATATCTTTAATTTACCAGATTTCATACATTTCAATAGCTAATTTATCCCTGACATTCACATACAACAGATGTTCTTTCCCATTAACAATACAATTCATCCAGGGATCAAATCTGTGCCATGCTATATTCCTCCAAAGACTGGATTTTTAATTTAAAATATTATTTGTTTGTTTGACAACTGCATGACTCTAGATCTTACTTTAATATTCAAGTTTGATGTTTCTCGAATATTCTGTGTGTGTAAATGTCGATTCCAATAACAGTGTAGTTCTTTGCATCTTTGAGACAGATTTGGAGGAGGCCAAGATTTGGATACATTTGAAAGACCTTACAGTTCTTTAACTAAAATAGCAGTATCAGGAAGTCAAGTCCAAAGGGACATAAATGTAGTTGTAGAAGGCAATAAATCTTTGCTTTTCGAGAGAAACATTGTTGTACCATCCACGGTATCCTTAAAAATAATGGAGAAAGTGAGATCTGGATGGCTAACCTTATATCTGCCAACCAAATCAATCCTAAAGGAATGTATATAGGCATAAATGAACACCTAGATTAGAAGTATTTATTAGTTACTACTGACATGTCAGAGGGCTTGGATACACAACATGAGATGTTGAAGTCCCTTATATATATATAGATTATTCCCCGAAGATATCTTCTGAATTGAGCGACAAACAAAAAGTCAAGGTAGTCAAACTACTACAAAACTTATTTGGAATTTTTAACAAAATTGACAAGTTGACAGCTGCACAGACAAATGTGAAACACAGTATTAATATTGGTGATCATGCTCCAAACAAACAAAGAGTCTACAGAGTTTCTTAGACAGAATTTGGTGAGAAATTCAGAAAATGATTGATCAAAATATATCTAGCCATCAGAAAGTCTCAGGTCGTCACCAGTTGTACTCGAAAGAAAAAAATAATGGAAGCTGGCATTTTTTCGTGGATTATCAGATGCTCAATAACATTACTGAGAAGGATTTCTATTCTCTACCTTGCATTGATGATACATTAAAATGTTTGAAGGGTGTCACATTCTTTTCTTCTATAGTTATTCGCAGATAGAGATAGACCTGGCAGATCGCGGAAAAAAAAAAAAACCATTGAATGCTCCAAAAAGCTTATATGAATTTAAAGTCATGCCATTTGCACTCTGTAATGCACCTAAGACCTTCAAGAGAATTGACAATTTGCTGCACCAATTCAAATGGACTATGTGTCTTTGCTATATAGATGACACTGTAATGATCTCAGAAACTTTTGAAAACCATCTTAACTGATTAAGGATTGTTCTAAAATGATTGCAAGAAGCTGGCCCCTTATATTCAACCTAAAGAAGTGCCTTTCTGCGAACCTAGAAGTACAAATACTGGGCCATCTAGTATCAAATAATGACATCCGAAAGATTAAGACAAAGTGGAAGGCGCAAGCAAGTTCCCCACTCAAAAGAATGTGCAAGATATTCGAAGTTTTCTTGGATTCTGCTCTTGTTTCTGAAGGTTTATTAAGGGCTTTGATTATCTTGCTGAATCCTTGCAGTTCCTGTTAAAAGACTATGTGAAATTTCATTGCGGACCTAAAGAGATAGAAGCTTTTAAAAATCTGAAGGAAATGCTTACTTCTGATCAAGCTTTGGGAATGTATGATGAAAACTACCCAACAGAAATTCATACAAATGCCAAAGGATATGGTATTGGAGCAGTCCTGGTGCAATTTCAGAATGTAAGCCAAAAAAGTTATAGTATATGCCTCAAAAACTTTCACAAAAGCCAAAAAGAATTATTCTACTACAGAATGGTGCTGCTTAGCCATTGTATGGGCAATCAACAAATTTTGGCCGTATCTATTTGGAAAACCTTTTACTGTTGTCACAGATCATCATTCGCTGTGCTGGCTCCCAAGTCTCAAGGATCCATCTGGAAGACTTGCAAAATGGGCACTTTGACTTCAGGAACATGATTTTGTTTATAAGTAAAAAACCAGTAAGATGCTGACATTATCAAGAAATCCAGTGGAAGAAGAAACAGAAACACCAAACTTCTAGTTAGTGCACTATGTGCAGAGCGGGGAGTTGGCAGCTCAAATTATGCCACTACAAGTATGAACCTTACTATTAAACAGAAGACTCAACCCTCACAAAAATAAACCTCTCCAAAATTTTCCCATCCACAGATAAAGAATTTGAATCAACTGATGGAGTCCTATGCAGAAAGAATTATGACCCAGCTGGGAAGAAGTGGTTACCAGTTCAGTGGTCCCAAACATCTACGAGAAGACATGCTGAAACACTTTGGCAGCACTCTTACTGCACAACATCTTGGTTTTGTAAAAACTTATGACAGAATCAGTAAAAGATTTTATTGCCCAGAAATGTACCAAAATATTGTGCACTATCAGGAATGTGAATGAAGAAAATCCATTCCACAACAATCATCTGGATGCTTAGTTTCAATTCCTCCAGCCAGAGCCCCTTTCCATCACATTGGGATCGATTTGGGGAGAATTCCAAAATCTGGTCCTGGAAACAAATGGATCATAGTCTACACAGATTACTTGCTATTTTATGTGATAACTAAAGCTTTACCAAAGCTCCTCAAATGATTATCACAGATTGTGGAAGTCTTTCAATCCAGACTTGTTTCAGCACTTGAACTATATAATATCAATCATTGTATGTCAATGGCATTTCACACTCAAACAAATAGATTGACAGAGCGTTGTAACAAAACTATGACTGATATGTTGTCTGTGTACATTGATACAGAATAGATGAACTGGGATGAAATTTTACCATTTGCTTATAATACTGCTAAAACAAGAGAAAAAAACAGGGTTTATGCCTTTCTTACTTTATGGACAAGGACCGAATACTTTTTTAAAAGTATTCGGAACCTTATGAAATGTTACATCATTTATCAGATGTTACCTATGAAGTACAAGACTGATTCTGACTCATGAAGAAGAAAACCATGAGATGTCGTCCATGTAATTATGTATGAAACCATAACATGACCCAGCCCAGCAAATTGAAATAGAAAGAAAACAAAACCAATATAATGTTCCTCCTGAAAAGAAAAATGCTTACACAGGGCCCATGATGTGTTCCAGAATGAAAACTAATTAATATGAATGACTGTAAGGCACTGTTGTTTCAAGAGGGGAGGGATGCCACACAAAGCAAGAAAGCCAGCGATTTCTGTGGCTCAGTTGGCAGAGCTTTGGACTGTAGATCGGTCCATCCAGGGTTTGAAACCCTGTCACACTATTTTCATCCCTAAACTGAATTTTTAATTTAAAATATTTACTGTTTGTCTAATACCAGAATGATTCTAAATCTTTCTTTAATATCCTAATTGGATGTTTCTCAAATATTCTGTGTGCATAAAAGGCCGAGTCCCATCAGTTGTGGGAAAGTTTTCAATTATGTGATGTTGTCTCGTTTTAGTAAAAAAATATAATAGTTTACAATAATATTGTAGTTCTATGTATCTTTGAGACAATATAAATAAATATTAGATAAATTTTAATGAATTCTTTCTGCTATTTTCTCAAATTTTTATTAGATAAACATATTTTAATTTTTTTTTTCTTTTTAATTAGAAAGAGTGCCATTGGATTCCAACTACTAAATCAGATTGACCCAAGTTGCATATGAATCCCACCAAAAAATAGGTAGAAAGCATCTCAAATCGAAAATTCATTTTATCACTATGTCCATTCACCTGCCATATGTCCAGTTATAGTTATATGCTATTATAGACTATTGCTTACATCACGAAATGTAGTTCTGCTTTTGTATAAGAAATCTTATTTCACTATTTTATAGGTTGCCTGATAGTTGTCGGAGGGAATTTTTTTTTCCTTCTCTTTTTTTTTTTTCCTGCTATCCTTTAGGAGTCACATTAATGGTTAGCACACCACTTATCTACATTTCTATCAAAATTTCCAATCTTTAAAAATATCTAAAAACCTGATCCATTTAAAAATGCAACTGTCTTCACCAAATGAAACAAACATACAAGTTGAAATGAAAACTTTAAAAGTTTGCTCAAGCTGATCAAATGCAAGAATATTACTAAAAGCTCACTGCATTCAGTTATGCTAATTTCTCCATAGTTCACCACACAAAGTATAACTTATTTTTTTTAAAAAAAAATTGTTCTACCTATTTAAAATTTATAGGCTGCTCTCTCAAAAAATGAACATAAGAATATAATTCTATTTGGCTGAGATATGTATTATTCAAAATGTTATAAATAGCTGCTCTAGAATAACTGACTCAAGCATTATTTATACTTTTATCAGAACAAATCTTACAAAATAAAAGTTTTAATTTCGTCAACATAGTTCATAATTTTATGCACCACACACAGTTATAAAAATGAGACACAATAATAAGTACAAAACACATTTAACTTGAGACAAATCTGCATCAAAAATGATTTTACACTTTGTCTTTTCTTAAAATAACATACATGTAGGATTGCAAAAAATTCTTATTCAACAAAACATAGTCAATAAAATGTACTATATACACAAATGGAGGAAAAATTAAGATTTGGTATGACATTAAATTATTGATCGAGAATTTAAAGAGTCAAATTTAGCATTTTAAGAAAACTTACTCTAAGTATCGATCTTAATATCTGCACACATATTTAATAATTATACTTACTTCAAAAAATACAATCAACATTTTTGAAATCATAACAAAAATACATACAAAAGTCAAATCTTCAACATTACACTAATTTTTTAAAACAAAATGTTAGAAAAAAAATGTATATTTGAATTAATTAAGAATAATAACCTTAGAAGTCTAAATCTTCCTGAACAGCCTATCCTGTCACAAGGAAAATCGTCTTCTTTACTACTCCTGGCAGATTTATAGCATCCAGGTCTGGGGCATCCTTCAAAATCACATTTGTAAATCTAAAAAGGGGGTAAATAATGTAGATCTTAAAATACAAAACAAGTATAAAAAATACTTTTAAAAAATACTTACTTTTGCATTTGCATATCCTAGCTTAATTGTAATATTTCGCTCCAGTTCATTTTTGAATCTTACAGTCTGTTGATGATAAACAAAAATTATATTAATTCCAAATTAAACATTGTGGCCAAAATTACACAATACTACAAAAATTCTAAAACACAATTAAAAACATTAAAATATATATCACAAAACTAAAAAAACACATCACAAAATAATTTTCAGAAATATTAATGACTCCCATCCTCCCTTCTTCTACAAAAGAAAGCTTTTAATAAGGTACAGCAATTAATTTAAAGACTAATTTTAAATTTTAATGTCATAATTAACACAATCATAGAAATAAAACAAATAGACCAAGATCAAAAACTGATATTCAGGAATTTATTCAACCCAGTTCAGCTTGAATTTTCATCTTTCAATTTATATTCAAAGAAATTGATTGAATAATTAAAAAAAAGTTTAATAAGTTAGCCCAAGAAAAAACAACTTAATATTAGTCTTTTATTGTATGGTTTTTAATTAGTAAAGGTGTAACAAAAAATAGGAAATCTGTAGTTTTAATACAATTAGGAAATATAAACCAGACTAATTTCCACAACTGTATTTTAAGAATAGGTAAAAATGTACAATGTTTTTCACCTCAATGCTTTAAATTAGGTAATTGTTAGAAATTATTTTTTTCATTACCTAATAAATATTACATTTAATAAGAATAAAGAAACAAGCAATTCTATAAACGAATTCAAGTAGTAAAATTTTTAGCTCCACTCATTCAAAAAAACATATTTGAAACTAAAAATCTTTAGTTAAAAGGGAAGAGGATGAAATCAATATGAATAAACACTAAGAATATCTAAGATATAAAATAGCAGACAAAAGGGAAATTTTGAATCATTCACCTACACATCTCCTAATCCCTCCCTTGATGAGACATACATTTAGTAATCTATTAGGTATATGAAATATATAAAAATTATGTTTACAAATTTACACAAATAAGCTAACTGTTTGAATATTTATATAATTTATCATTTACTGTACAATATTAAAAAATTCAACATTTTTTATTTCCTTTAGCACAATTACCCCACCCCCTGATTCAATAATAAAAACTTATCACCAGTACAATGTATTCTTAAATAATCACACATACAGCAAAATCTATCATCTATGTCAAAATTTCTTTATATCATTGCATAGAATGAAAACCAAATAAAGACTATGAAATTAAATCTCAACTCGAGAATTATCAATTTGATAAGAACTTTTAACTGGAACAATAAAAAGATTAGAATTAAAGATTAACATAAATTGACTATAAAAGAAGATAATAGGATGCGAAGCAGGACAACAGGAAGATGAAAACCTGTCTCTCTTTTACAGCTTTGAGAGAGGTATATATATATATATAGGAAGAGGAGGCATTTCGCTTCAGTTCAGGCTTCCCTGCACAAGCTCTCAAGAATAAATAAGGCCAAAAGATGGAATGCAACATACAGACAACTAAATTAATATATAAAAATTATGCAGTGAACAAATGAATTAGGTAATATAATTATGGTGTAAGAGCCAATTCTTGCTCTTGCACCATTGCCAAGAAATGAGTATCACTACATTTCATTCTTAAATTTCATATCTACATTATTAATTCTTAAAAAAATTACATGTTAAACTGAATTTTAAAAAATTATTTATTTTTAAATCTTTAACAGCACTGGATCCCTACTCTGCAAAATTAGACATCTAAGATACTATATTCATAATGTAATCAAGTATTTCATAGAATCTGAAAAGTTTGAAGTTATTATCTAACAATAGAAATTTTAAAAAACCTTCAGGGATACAAATTATTTTATATTGCAAATATTTTAAGCTATGATAATTCTGATTAATTTTTTTTTATTTTTGGTCAATGAAAGAAAGGGTTGTATTTAAATTTATCATTTAATTTATTCATCATTATATGCATAGAATAACAAAGTAGTATGCACAAATCCTTTCATTTACCTGTACACCAGATATTGCTTTCACAACTGTTGATTTCCCATGAGCTACATGACCAATTGTTCCTAAAAAGAAAAAGAAGACATGAGATACATTATGACATTTATTAAATCACACAATTATTATCAATAAGAGAAAAAAAATATTGGAGGGATGAAATAAATTTAACAAAAATAAAAATGTGCTTAACATATTTCTGTTCAGTCAAAGAGATAATTCACACATTTGCACTTACATCATTAATTTCAATTTATGAAACCCAGGACAAAATGGAATATTTCAAAACTTTTGTACATTCTATTTAATCATGCCCACTCTATTATAAAGAAAATACTTTTCTAGACATTTAGGCCTCTATCACAATTTTGGTAGGGCAGAAATATCAACCATTTTTTTATTATGATTTTTATTAGAAGTAGCCAAGTAATAGATAACTGTAGATTCCAATGAATGCAGCACAATACCTGGCACTTCTCTTATTTCTAAAAGTGCTCCAAACAATGATACACCTTTCAGGACAACTAAAAAGATTGCATTTCAGAAAAATAGCCACTGATGTAAAAAAAAAAAAATCCAACTAGACATGTAGAATATGCTCTTAAAAAAGGAATGCAAAATGAGACATATCTGCAAAACCTGTTGTGTACCATTATATGCGATTGTTATAAAATATATCATTCTAAAAATATATATTAAGTTATGCAAAATAATTGTTCAAAGTTTCATCTTAACTCACTAAGTATGAATAAAATTATTTTTGAATGTTTTACTTTCAAATTCAATTACAAATTAATAGCTGGTGACAAGAGATAGCCTCCATGTAAAATCGCCATCAACAATGATTTAATATAGTATTTTTCTAAGTTGTTTTCATAGACTTTATTTTACAGTGAAATAAAATAATCTATAACATAATTTTAATAATTCTACAGAAGAACTTAACACAAGAGAAACTTTATTTAAAAAAAATTAAATACTTAGAAACAATTTTCTTACAAAAATTTCTAACATTATAACAAACATAACTACTAAAAACAATAGAAAAATCGTAAAATAATCACTCGAAATAAAATCGTGAATAATTTGCAATGATTAATAGATTAAACTTTGATTCTAACATATTTCCAAGCATCACAATATACAAGATCATACATTTAAAGTATAAAAACAAAGTTTCATATTTTAGTGTATATTTTATATAATATCCCCCCCCCCATTTTTACAATACAAGAAAAAAGAAAGAATATTTTATCAGAGAACTA